CCCTGTGAGTTTAGTTTCCTGTGCTGGGTGGCGAGCATGGGTTGGTTTTTAAATGTGCAGAAGGAAGTGCTCCCCGGAGAGCAGTCTGGCTGCCAGTGCGTTTGGCTGAGGCCCCTGAGGCTCCCAAGCCCAGGGCGCCCCCAGCGCTCCTGACGGATGGAACCTGGAGTCAAAGTCCACAGGCTGGCTGGGCTGAGAGCAGCCAAGATGGGGCAACTCCGGGAGGTGCTGGGGCTGCTGTCGGGGGGAGGTCTGGCAGCTAGGGGACCCTTCTTTGCCCTGACTAGGCCCCATCTTCACAGGTAGGTGCAGCCTCTCCACCCTCACCTGCCTCACCAGAGTCGTCCTGAGGCCAGTGGCCTGGGGCTCAACCCTGTGGCCACTGTTTGGGACCTTGACCTTCTGGACTGCCATGGAAGCTGGCGGGGAGAAAGGTGCCACATAGTCGGCTGGCGGCGACGCCATCTGCATCCACGGTGCCCACCCTTCAGTAACTTCACGTGCTCATGGTGAGTCCACATGCTTAGGGGCCAGGCCAGGGCCACGTCTAGGGCAGCCACCCCGCGCATGGAAGCCTAGGCAAGAAAAGTGAGCTGTTGGGTGGTCAGCTAGCCCGCAGCCAGGCACATGCTGGTCCTGTGCCCAGGAGTCCTGGGGAGCGGGGGATGGCTGGGGCGGGTGAGGCCGTTCATTTCCAGGCCACCTGCCTGGCTGCTCAGCGACGATCATACTAATTAGTTGATGGCATGCCGCAATGTTGAATCATTTCATCAGTGGAGGAGACATCCGCCCTGCGCCCCCACCCCGGTCGGATCCAGGGCCTGTGAGCACCTTCCCTGGCCTCAGGCCCAGGTCCCTCCCACTGCAGCCCTGCCCACCCCTTCCCTGCAGAAAGTTGGCAGGACCACAGGGGGACGTGGGTGGGCTTCAGCGGCACGTACAGCAAACACGGGGGTGTTTCTCTCCCCGGCAAAGGGGAAGGCTGCTGTGAGCAGCGCGAGGCTGTGAGGGGCTCATCCTGCGGACTTGTGTGTGCCTCACTGTGGTGGCTGCTGGTTTGAATTCCGGAAGGTTGATGGCTGAGTGAATAATGCATTGTGTGTGTGAGGGACAGCCGGCAGAGCGCGTGCGGGGAATGCTGATCGCCAGAGGACAGTGCAGCCGGCAGCGCTGTGGCACGGACCCCACAATGAGTCCCGAGTGCAGACCTGGTTGTCTGCTTCGTAAGGAGTGGTCAGTCTGAGTCACTTGTTCATTTTCTCTTGATTAGAAATGTCCAAACAAGAGAGATGCTTTTTGCCAGAATTCAGCGTCACAGGCTGTCCCATGCCTCAGAAGTTGGAAGGACGCCAGGCACTCGCCTTTCAGACAGCTGAGAGGTTGCGTGTCTTGGGCACAGGCCGTTCCTCAGAGAGGCTGGCCGCCTGGCCCAGCCCCCAGCTTCCTAACCATTCACTTGTTGCCCGAAGGTGCCACACCCAACATGGCTGTGGCCTCCAGGGTGGCAGAAGTCCAAGCTTTCCTTCCTCAGTGTAGATCCTCATGCGCAAATGGAACCTGTCACTGGTGAAGGAAAGTTGAGCTGGGAGGTGCTCCAGGAGGCACTCCAGGAGGCAGGGCCCAGCAGTGCCCTTCAGGGCCCCAGGGGTGACCGCTACCTGCCTTTGCCTCATCTCTGACCCATCTGCCCTTCCACACACTCACTCTCATTTCAGGGGCCGGGTCTGCACATGGTGCCCTGGTCCCAGCCAGCACACAGGCCAGTTCAACACTGAAAACTGCCCGGTTAGCCTTACCCGCAGAGATTGGATTTCAGCAGGTTGTTGGGATTTTGTCTTAATAAATAATATTTACAATGGAGAGTTTCTGAAAGGAATGGAGAATACCCAGCCTCATGTGCGGGGGTCACAGTTCAGGTGCAAGCACTTTTCTGTGTGTGTTTGAGTCTGTGCTGCAGGCGCCTGGGCAGGTTCACCCCAGTGGCTCGGGGGCATTGGCCCAGCCAGCCCAGTGGCCCTGCCTGCTGCAGGCTGCCACCCTCTGGCCACAGGTGCAGCTCCCGTGGGGCCCGGGCCTTCCTGACACCTGTGGTCGGCAAGCTGCCTCCTGATCCCACATCTTCACGGCCACACACTGAAGTTCAGTTGCGCCAAATTCCAGGCGTCTCTGGGCAGGCTCACTGGACCAGAGCCTCCTTTCAGAATGTGCTGCTGTCTGTTCAGCACTCAGACAGGGTCTGAGTACCCAGGTGCTGCCCCTAGGAGGCCTGTGTCTGGCACCTGAAGCCCAGGCCACCACCTCCCCCCATCACAGCTTAGTACACGAAGCAGCCGTGGGCTGGCCTGGCCCTGGCTGCTGCAGTGCGGATTCAAATGCAAGCAGGTTCCAGGTGCTCATTCCTTTGTGTCCTATGATCTCCTGTGACCCTCACACGGAGCTAGGGAACCACCTTTCCTCAGGGAACAAAGTGACAAGCTTTGGAAATGGAGCAAAAGGTTGTCCAAACCTTTGCACTTTCTCTGCCTCCTTTCAGAGGAGCAGCGTCGGTGGCCCGGCTGAGGGGCTCTGCTGTCTCACTGCCTGTGCTCAGGGCTAGGAGTGGCTGCAGGCAGAGGCTTGGCGTAGGTAGTGCAGCCACTTGCTGGCACCTCCAGTCACAGTAGCATCAGGTTGCACTTAGAGTGGCTCCCCATCACTGACCTGCAGGCTCCAGTGGCACAAAGGCCACTCGGTCAGCTTAGGGTGGTCCTGGCCCAGGAGGCGCCACAACAGCAGGGCTGGGGCTCTCGCGCAGACCCCAGCAGAGCCCCTGCATGCTCTGAATTCACGGCTGGGCTCAGTGTCATCAGAGCATCCTCGAGCACATCCTGAAGGATCCTGAAGCCAGGACAGGGCAAGAGGCCAGTACTCCCAGGCTGTGCTTAGAGTGAAGACACACAGCACTCTCAGAATGCCCCCTTTCCCCACAGATGTACCCCACATTCAAAAAAGGGAATTAAACCCCCAAAGAGACTGGGGTAGACGCAGGGCAGGGTTCCAGGAGGCCAACACGAAGGGAACCACCAGCCATCTGAGCTGAATCAGGACCTGAGCCCAGCACCATGCGGGACACTCCCAGCTCTCAGTTGCCCAAAGCCTATCAGCCTGTGCAGTGGGTGGCTCCCACTCCAAACCCGCCCTCTAGGCCAAGCCAGGAGTCCCTGCTGCCCACAGGCCAGTGCCTCAGGCCTCGCCTAGAAGACTATCCTGGATGCTGTAGGCACTTGAAGACATCAGTGAGTGCTTTCTGCTTGTGCTTTTAATTCTGTCCAATATTTACACTTCTAAACACCCATAAAACCAGCCTTCATCCCACAACTGGAGAGTGTCACCCACTAACGTGTCTCCTTAAACATGAACCATTTAAAGCCAAGTGGCAGCCAGTTGAGAAGGAACATCCCTGTGACACTTCTCAGTGTTCTCTCCGGAGCTCTCAGAAGTCCACCAGCCCACACACCTCCAAAAGGAAACGTAACAAACATGTAAATGCAACGTCCAATTAGGGTAATTTGTGCTCCGAATGAATAAATTACTTATCTTTTCCTCTGCCTTTCCCCTGGGAACACTTTGATGAAAGGTTGACAGATCAATAAGCTGCAATTATCATTAGAAAAGCAACAAGGGACACCAGGCTCTAATGAAACAGTCTCGGCTGGTACAGAACCACGAGGAAGGATGGCCCGCGTGCCCCCAGCCTGTGGCCGCCTCGCCTCAAGGACAGGATGCACGCACGGTCTGCGCGCACACACGCCTGTGTCCTGGGCTCGCACTGGCCCCTTTGCCACGTGTCACCCTCAGCTAAAGGGTGATGTTCTGATCAGACAAGTGACACGTGACCTGACTCCCTCCTCCTTTCCTCCTGTTCTTGATGTTCTGGTGTATTTGGTTTGCAGAACATGCCAAAAGGACACATGCAACTAAAATAATATAATGTAAAAGGAAGTTATGCCTCAGGAAACAGGAAATGCAAACAAACCTGCACCCCAGGCCTGCTCTCAGGCCTTGGGTATCACAGAGAACAGAGGCCCCCTGGTAGGATGGAAACCAGGTGTCCCAGGAGGAGGAGACAGCTTCCCGGTCCCACAGGCCCTGAGGTGAACGGGAATTGAAAGCCCGGCCTCCAGGGGGGTCAGAGGGTGGGGCCCCTCATCTTCCCCTCCCAGCTCCCCAGCCTTTCTGCTGCGAGGTCCAGGCTCCGCCCGTGGTTGCTGGTCATGCCGAGGGGGACTTGTCCAGAGACGTCCGTCCAGCTCTGTTGACCACACACCAACAATTGTAAAGATTTGCTCGTGGAACGCTTGCAAAGTAGATTCTTCCAAAAGGAACTTATACATGTGTGAACTTTAAAATATAAAATATGTCTTCGTTTTGCATTGCCTACTTTGAATTTTAAATGTCACCTCTAAGAATGTAGAAAGGCACCCATGATAAGTCTGATTTGGAGAAAGAAAGAACAGGAGGCCAAAGGGAACTAGATGTTTCTTATTAAACATCCACTGTGGATGAAACTGCCTCTGCACCCAGGGAGCCTCAAACCTGGGCCCTCAGAGAAGGAGGAAGCGCCCAAAGGCGGGGTGACCTCCCAGCCAGTGAACCCAGCCTGGGCGCGTCCTCGCTAAGCTCTGAGTCTTAAACCAATGCCTGAGGTGTCTGCGCATCGCAGGGAACCCCATTCTGATGTGTTATTTGGCTTAATGTGGGAGGGGGGATGTATGTGTGAATAAAAACCGACAGATAAGACGCGTCTGAACGGAATCTGCCTGACTGAGGTCCTGGGGACTAATGTACTGTGACTCGGAGCAGGGACACGGGGCACAGGGCATCGCTGCAGATGGCGCTGCCTTACGATGCGGTTCTCGGCTCATGCTGCTCACGTTGCTCTGTGCTCCTTCCAGGATTTGAAGACTGTCCTCTCCCTGTCCCAGCACCCAGGGGAGTTCCTGCACCCCGTGGTGTACGCCTGCACGGCCGTCATGCTGCTCTGTCTCCTCGCCTCGGTCATCACCTACCTCATGCACCAGAGGTGAGGCCCCGCTTTGCCCGGAGACTTCCTGCTTCCCCACCAAGAGCAAACCCCAAAGTGAGACCTCCTACCCTCATGTAGCAAGAATCCCTGGAAGGCACTTCACAGACCGCCGGCCAGCTTGAGCCTGCCCAGCCTGGATGGCGCTGGGGGTGGCCGAGGCTGGCTGAGTGACAGGGTCAGCCATGCCCCTCCATTCTGGGCGTCCGTGTTCTTATCAAATCGGGTGAAATGAGTTCTTCCTCCAACGGCACAGTGTCTGCTCAGCACCCGAGGGCCCATGTCCTGGCGAAATTGGAGCAGCCAGCAGACCCTAAGGCATGTCTGCATTTGTTTTCTAGAGAGAGGAGTCTAGTTGGTTCTCTGCTGAGCTGGTTTCCTGGCCACCTCTTCCTGGGAGTGGGGAGATGGCCTGGCTGTGTCCCCATCACTTGACAATGCCCTGGGGAATATGTGGAGGGGTCCCGGCCATGGTCAGGGTCTAGCCCACAAAGCAAGTCATGGGCAGAGCCCAGGCCGTGGCATAACCACCTAACCACGGCCATGGGAAGAGGCTTGGGTGGGTACACAGCACGGAGAGGCTGTGGCCACAGGCACAGCTGTCAGCATAGGCTAGGCAATCTAGTCGTGGCCGTAGCCAGGGGCGAAGCGTGGTCACAGCCATAGGCAGCATCCGAGTCCAGGTGCCAGCGTGGCAATAGGGGTCACCGTGTAGTCAGTCACTGTCACAACCTCCTCTCAAGGGACCAAACATCTGCACAGAGAGGGACAAGCTCTGTCCTGGGAACAGGAGACCAGGAATTTCTGCATCCCCACCCCCCATCTCTGTGACTAGACGGGTGTCACCTGTCAATGGCCAGGTTGTTGGAGATTTCTCAAAAACCTTCCCAGTCCTCATGTTCCAGGGGGGATTTAACACCAAACCCCACCAGCCACACACTAAGGGTGGATTCCACGCAGCCCATCCACCCTTCCCTTGATCTGGTCCTTGGGGTGTGTCTCCCTGCCCGGAGGCCTTCAGCCGGGTTCCCACACGAACAGATGCAGGGGAAGGGCTCTCGCCACTCTGCTGAGGGGCGGGTTCCTGACGTGACACCTGTGTTTCCTCAGCGCCATCCGGATCAGCCGCAAGGGGAGGCACACGCTCCTGAACTTCTGCCTGCACGCGGCCCTGACCTTCACGGTGTTCGCGGGCGGCATCAATCGTACCAAGTACCCCGTCCTGTGCCAGGCGGTGAGTGCTGCTTGCGTCTTCCTTCTGCTACAGATTTTAAAGGGTTTATCAGCTCTCCTGCCAAAGGGGGAATCTGTGATCCTTGTGTCATTTATGAAATCTCATTTGAGTATCTGTTCAGGTGTTTCTCCTGAAAGGACAGTTAGGCGTCCAGAGTGTCCGCGTTGCAGACCCAAGTGAGTCTGCTTACCTTGCTCCATTTGATCATGTAAATAGTCTATTTTTCACTTGAACCAACTTGCTCCAAGGCCTGTGGTGACAAGACTAGAAGTTCACTGCCCACAAACAGTGCTCTTCCGAAAGTAGGGATGCACCCTGCGAAGGCTGGTGGGGCAGGAGCAGGGGACGAGCAGGTAAGAATCCCAGGACGCTGATGCGGAGACTCATCAACAGGCCGCAGAAACTGTCACCAACAGGCTACCATGGAGTCTAGGTCACAGAGACCCGTGTAGAGGCCACAGAGGAGTCCGTCCTGCCCCCTCTTGGGTGAAAAGAGAGAAGCTTAAACTACCCTTCAGCTCCTGACAGGGCTCAGAAGAGGCCCTTCCACAGCCACAGACCATATCCCCAAGGACTCACCCCTTCGGTTCCTGTCACTTTGTGGGCACGTCCGCCTGGGCTCTATGGAGAGAACCCTTGCAGCCGACACCCTCGAGGACGTCACGCTGCTCCCCTTGCAGCCTTGTTGCTGGGAATTCATTCACTGGTGGTTGTGGGGGCTGCGCAGCCTCACCACCTGGGACCGGGTGTACTGGCGCTGACCTCGGTGGCCATCTGTCCACAAGAGACCTGTCCACCTGCACAGTCAGCAGCGACTGGTGACTTACCCTGGGGATCAGTGGACAACATGCTGCTCCCGCAGGGCTACCTCGGGGAATAATGGGGCTCTGAGCTCCCACTCCCCACACCCGTCCATTCGCATTAGGCCCATGAGAGAGCCCCCTGCTCCAGAGCCCTGGCACCCCAGGACCCAGCCCCCAGGCTCCTGATGCAGGAGAAGTCACTTTTCTGTGACTCCACATCAGGACAAGCCATCCAGCACAAACCCGAAAACCACGATGAGGGGCAGACCCTCCTCCTCACACCTTTTCACGGGCGTGGAAACCGCTGAGGCAAGTGCCCCAGGAAATCCAATTTATGATCCGCCTGCAATGCTGCCAAGGAGCAGAGATCCAGACGCATGACTGGGGTTGTTACCTTTATGTCCACACTTCTCCGTGCGAGTGCCCTTGAGCTGGGCCCAGCAGGGCGTAGCTGCCAGAATCACGGTGGTGCAGTCCCCCCACCCACCTCAGAGACCCGGTAATCATGGCACTGGGAAGCCCATGCCCTCCCGAAAACCCGGGAGGTGTCTGTGTCTGCCAGGTGTTCTCATGGCACCTGAGGCCTGGCCTGTTCAGCAGGGTGGACGGCCGGGGTGCATGGTGAGTGTGGGGCAGGCGCGACCCAGAAGCTACCATAGAGGTAAGATCTGTAGAAATCATGTTAGTCTGAGAAATGCCCGATTCTCTCGTGGTGACAACCTCAGGACTCCGACAGAGGCAGTCAGCCCTGTGCTCTGAGCAGACACTGTCCTGACCTCCCCACGACCTTTCCAGAAGGTAGCAGGGCACCATTCATTCATTCACTCATTTACTCACAAAAATGCATTGGGGGCCTGAGGGTGCTGCGGGTGCAGCTGAGAACAAACCCACTGGTTGCCCTGCTGTGTGGACCTGCCTTCCAGTGGGGAGGGATAGTAACCTGCCCAGCGCTTCAGGGAAAACGAGCTGCAGAGCAGAGGTGAAGCCAGGTGCTCCTGGCCCAAGTCCCTCCTCCACTCACTGCAGGAGACCGGGAGGCACAGGAAGGAGTGGTGGCTACTTCATGCGTCCCTTTGATGGGGTCACAGGGCACCCACACACATCAAATATGATTCTGGGTGTGTCTGTGATGGTGTTTGGGGTGAGATGAGTGAAGTGGAGGGCCGTCCCTGGTGTCGGTGGCATCCAATCCTCCAGGGCCTGAATAGAATAAAAGTCTGAGTGAGAAAGAGCCTGTCTGTCGCCAGCTGCCACATCCAACTCCTGCTCTTGGATGCAGACAGGGACTGAAATTACACTGTCATTTTCCTGGGTCTCCAGCTTGCCGACTGTAGATCTGGGGTTTCCTCAGGCTCCCTCATTGCATGAGCCGATTCATTATAGGTACCCAGGCTGGCCCCCACTTTGACCAGTGACACCTGTGCATGGCCCTGGTGCCTGACACAGGACCCTCTGGCCAGCTTTTCCTGTCCAGTGTTGCTCCTGGTGATTATGAGTGATGTATGAGAAGTGGTCCAAGCTCCGGATGAAGAGAACAGACGGTTGTCATGGCAACAAAAAATGACCGTGCGCCTCATTAAAGTACAAAGTGACATCATGAACACAGAAGGACAGCCAGCATTGTCCTGGGCCCGGAAGCATGGGATGGCAGTAGAGTGCTATCTGAAAACCAGGGCGGGGTCCCTGTGACCTCTCCATGTGTCCAGCCTGCGTCGTGTTTGGGAGACAGAGTTCTGCGTTTACATGCTCTCAGAATCCCCACACGTGTGGTCTGTCCGGGGCTCAGCCCCANTCTGAAAACCAGGGCGGAGTCCCTGTGACCTCTCCGTGTGTCCAGCCTGCGTCGTGTTTGGGAGACAGAGTTCTGCGTTTACATGCTCTCAGAATCCCCACACGTGTGGTCTGTCCGGGGCTCAGCCCCACCCCGTCCCCCACATTCTCCTCCCTGCTCTGGGTGTTCCCTGCCCTCCTCGCCTCTGAGGATGTGTCTCTGACTATTTCTTCTTGAAAAGAAAGTCAGACCATCCTTCAACCAAGGGCCGGGTGACACAGTCCCCCATTCTGCTCCTCCTGGTGCCGAGTTTGTTCCCTGGATTCCTAGCACCTCCTCCATCACGGGGTGGGGTAAAGCTGTGCGCGTGGGATGGAACTCAAGCCCCGGGGAGGCCAGGCCGAGGAAAAGGCTGGACGGGCCCAGGTGCAGGAGCCCATCCAAAACCCTAAATACTATTCTGGGATTTACCCCCCATCCTGATGTTCTCATCAATTATTATGGAGTTTTCTCATAGGTAAAACTGAACTCCGCACTTGATAAATCATTATAATGGTGCAATGCTCACTTTATTCAGAGAATCTCTGTGTTCCTTAAACATTTATGTCCTTTCCAATTATAGCCATATTTTACTTGTCGTTGCAAAATGTCAGGTTATTACTTCAAAGGTAACCTCATTCTCTAGAACCACATGGAGACAGAGTGCAGAATGCGTGATTAGCTAATGCAGTAAGTGCTGGCGATGGGATGGACCTGGCACTGTTTTCATAGTAACAAGCAACTCTGACTTACGGGGAGCAGACTTGCGAGTCTGATCCAGAAAGTGGTGCTGATCTCACAGGCAGGGCCCAAAACATGGGCACCTGGGAAACTGCTGCTGCACCTCCCACCACCTTCACCTGGTAGGAAGCACCGTGCGGGGAGGGCCCGGCACATGCGCTCCCTAGAGCCCTCTGGGTCCGTGCCTGGGCCACACCCACCACAGGGACTTGTGCAGGGTGGTGTGCATCCTGCCCTTGTAGCCGGCCCCACGTGGACCACGCCCAGGGGCAACATGCGCCCAGGCCCACGGACTCCCAGCCCATCGCTCTGCAGGAGAGCAAAGCTGCTCAAAGACACCTGCAAAGCATCTTTGCAGCCCAGGCATCTCCCTTGCGCTCAGAGGCCCCTGTGAAGTGCAGTGTTGCTGGAGCCTGGAGCCTTTAGTTGCCTTATTTCCTGTCACTGCTGAGATGCCTCCTGAGGACGCAGGGGAGTGGGAAGGCTAGATGGCTCTGGGACATGGAGTTGGGAGGTCAGTGTGCTGGTGGGCGACCGCTGACCTGTCTCCCCCGCCAGGTGGGCATCGTGCTGCATTACTGCTCGCTCTGCACCATGTTGTGGATCGCCGTGACCGCCAGGAACATCTACAAGCAGGTGACCAAGAAGGCCCCACCGTGCCCAGGGGCAGACCAGCCTCCATACTCCCAGCAGCCCCTGCTCAGGTACCAGAGTGTGTGCATGTCCCCTCCACCCCCCAGGCTCTGGGAGGCCTGCTGCAGGGGTCTAGGCAAAGTGGCTCACAAGGAAACTCGGAGCCTAAGGATGAGGTGGCTGGGGGTTGGGGGTGCTGGGGGTGTCAGGGGTGGGCAGTGAGCTAGGGTTAGAGCCTGGTCAGCTGGTCTGGGGGCCAGGGTGTCCAGCCAGTGCTGCTGAGCTCCATGCTGTGGGTGGGCCATGGTGCAGATGGCTCCAGTGGGGATCAGTAAGTGGCTTCAGTTATTCAGGGATCTCTGAGTTAAGATGCCTACTCATTAGCTGGGGAAACCAAGGCAGCTCAGTTGCTGGAGTTGCTGGCTTCAAGGTGATTGTGCCTTTGTCTGGGGCTCACAGTGGTTTTGGGAATAGGCCCCAGCTGTAGCCAGACACCCTGTTACTTCCTCAGGCCAGGACGCTTCAGGGTGCGCGGGTGGTCCCATGAGGGACTGTGGCTTGTTAGGGGTCCCCATTACAGCCCCACCCAGGTGGTCCTGTAAGAGGTAGCTGCTGCCACTGTGAGGTTGTGGCCCATGTTTGGGGACCGTGGACACCCAGCCCCTGGGAATGAGCTCCATTTGACTCCAAATTTGAAGGGCTACCCAGCAACACCTCCAGGTGCCTGAAAGTCCTCAGAAGAACTCTTTTTGAGGCAGTGCCCTGTGTTGTTTGCGACACTGAGGTGACCTCCCCCAGAGGTTTTCCGACATTGGTTGGTTTTCAGATACAAGCAGACGTGCTAACCAGGGCCCATGGTCCATGGGCCACCAACACAGGCCAGGGAGGCAGGATTTCATTATCTTGTCTGCCTTCCCGGAGGTCCCACGTCCCGTATCTTGGTCTGTAATTGATGATTGAAGGGTGCCTGGTTTTTTGACGAATGAGATGAAGGCCATGGAACATTTTGATCATTTCCTCTGTGACGGCTTCAAAATGCCCCTAACCAAGCCACATGCCCAGGCCCTGCCAGACTCAGGGCCGCGGTGTCACAACTGCAGGTCACTCTGGGACTTGCAGCTACTCTTGCACTGCCTGGAAGTCACTGCCACCTGCTCCTCCCTCTGTGTCTCATCCCTTTGTACAAAAAGACCTGGATGTAGGTTGGGGGTGGGGAACACATGGTGCTGAGACCCCAGCAACGTTGCCCTTGGTCTCCAGTGTGCACACCCCTCCCACAGGCGCAGACTCGTGTTGGGGGGTCAGCTCAGGGCTCCAGTGTGGGCCTCCTCTCCAGCCCCTCCCAGCTTTCCCCCAGCCTCTGGGGTCCTGAGGTTGGAGGTGACCATGCTGGGCCTGGGATTTCCCCAAGGAGACCAGAGGCTGATCATATTGTAGTAGGAGGTGGCACCCCACTGGCCGGACCCCTTCAAGGAGGGTGTCCAAGCAGACAGACCTTCCCTCTGGCTCCCACTGCTCCATGAACGTTGTAGTTTGAGCTAAAAGAAAATACCTCGGACTGAGGGCTTATAAACAGCAGACATTTATTCCCCATAGTTCTAGAAGCTGGAAGTCTGAGGTCAGGGCCCTAGTGCAGCCAAGTGAGGGCCCTCCTCTGGGTTGCACATTTGTCACTGTGTCCTCACATGGTGGAGGGGCGAGGAGCTCTCAGTGTCTCTGTCACAAGGGCACTGATCCCATCAAGGGGCTCCACCTTGTGACATGATCACCTCCTGAAGGCCCCACCTACCACCCTCACTTTCGGAGTTAAGGCTTCACCATATGGACTTGGGGGTACACATTCAGACCACAGCCTTTGGACAGAGAGAACCACTTCAGAATCAAAATAGACTTTCCTGCTGTGGTTTTATAGGTGCTCAGAGGCTAATTCCCAATTTAGCTTCATGTAATTATATCCTAATTTTGCAATCTGTTCTGCCCTTTCCAACAAGTACCCCTAAGTACTTCCTAGTGTTTAAGGTCTGCTGGTGGCTTTTCTGTTAGAAAAATGCACTCACATTAACACCAAGGTACTTACATGAGTCCAGCGTGACCTGAGTGCTGAAGGGCCCTTGCTGTCCCTTCGTCCAACCTGCCCAGGGGGAGGAAGCTCTTTGGGGCTCCCTTCTGCAGGAACCTTCTCAGCAGGAGGACAATTCTGATGAGAAACCTAAGCTTGGCATTCATGGCCACGCCTCGGAACAGGAGACACCACAGCCCCTTCAGTGTGGCACCCAGGTGCACTACTGCCCTGTGCAGGGGCACAGGGCTCCAGGGCCACTGGTGAACCAAGCAGGATGCACAGGGGCCAACGCCGGTGTCCTCCAGTGACCCCACAAAGCCATACCTGGGAACAGATGTCCTGGTTTACAGTCTAGGTTCCGGAACGCAGAGCTCTTCTTAAAGCAAAAGTGATCACGCAGCCCTATGTGCTGGCCCCTGTCCCTGAGTGAGCCATGGCAGACGGTGCTGGGTCATGAAGTGTCCAGTTACATTTGAAATACCAGGACACAGTTCTGGACAGGACACCGCATTGCAGCCTCCCTCACGTCACTGTGGGCACGCAGGACAGATGCCGTTCACCTTCTCTGCCGTGAGTCCCGAGGACTTTGTCCACCAGCTCTTCTCCCTGAGGACCATTACCTCCACCCACCGTGGTCAGTGCAAACTGGAGAAGGGAGGTCAGGAGCGAGCTGTGATCTCAGAGGCCCGTGTGCCCTTACAGGCCGAGTGCTCGCACAGGGTGCAAACGGCTCTTTTACTGGACTCACCAGACTGATTTCCTGGAATTCACAAGTCCTGGTCACACAGAGAAGCAGCTGGGCCAGGAGATGGATGCCCCTTAGGTGGATCCCCTGTGCGAGGGGTGGGCACACTCGCTGAGCCTCACGTCTACACATGTATCCTCATGGCTCCTTATGCTCCACTGCACTTTGTCCTTACCTGGACTGGCCGTCTCTCCTGTGACAAACGGTCCTTGTACATGGTCGCCTCTCCAGGGGCTTTGCCTCCTCCATGGGGGGATGCTGGTGGGCAGCAAGGCCGGGCAGTCAGAGAGGTGGCTTCCAGGTATCGGGTGGCTTAGGTGAGGGGTCCCTAAAGGCTGCTTGGTCGACTTCAGAAGTGCTCCTGGGCCTTATCACCCTCAGGCAGCAATCTCATTCCCAAGCTCCCCGCACCATCCAGGGCCCCTCAGCTCCCCAGGCCTGGATGGATGTCACCTTGGGCAAGGTGGTCACATGCACGGTCTGCCTGGGTGTTCAGTGGCAGGTGGAAGATGGGACTCCAGAGCAGAGAGAAGTGGCCAAAGGCTTTGATGGCTCAGCCCCTTGGGGACATTTGGATAAAGGCAACCATAGGTGGCCAGCACTGAGGCTGAAGGACACGCAGCTTCCTCCATGAAGACTTATCACCAGTCTAGGCAGGTACCATCATTACAAGCCATCGAGGGAATCTGAGGGGACATGCGGTGAAGATATCAGAGTGAGACCACAGTAGCGGGATAGCTTCAAAGTCAAGGGTGAAAGGCTCATCACAGGGTGTCTACAGACTGCAGGGGACAGTGGTGCTCACAGCAGGGACCGAATCCACATTCTCACACGTGAACATCACTTACCCCACCCCACTTACTGATCAGACTCTCCGTGTCTCAAGATCAAGAGTCCCTGTGCTCAGGGCCATCCCTGGTTCCCGTGCTGCCCCTCGGTGACCCCACAGCCAGGTGGGCTCCTGGCTGGCTTGTGCAGGGACACAGGAGTGCAGGGAGCACATGGTCCTAATGGGTCTGGAGTCTGCTAGGGGCTGTGTCAGTGGAAACAAAACAGAAACTCCACTGTCGCACAGAGATCCACGACAACAGATCCTTGTATGACAGTACAGTCCCCGATAGGGATTGCATGACAATGATAGGAGAGGGGCTGTGACCTGGGAGTCCCCAAAGTTGGTTCAGACCTCACTGCAGAGGATGTGGCTGGAGCCACTGGGCAAGTGAGGCTGGTGCAGAGGGGTAGCCTCGGGCTGGGAAAGGATCACTGGCCTGGGCAGGGCTCCACACCACTGACTGCCCAGCAGCTGCAGCAAGAATAGCTGTCTAAGCCTCCAGCGCCCTCTGCTGACTGTGCCATGCCCCTGAGCTGTGCCCAGGAGCCACGCTTGGCCACTGTCCCCTCCCACCATCCTTATGCTGCAGACTCCAGATAGATTACCCCTACATAAGTCATAAGTGACACAGGCAGAGGTAACATTTTTTCTTTAAACAGTCATACATATTTTGAAGAAGTTAAGAGGAAACAACATCTTTTATATTTACCCTAATACTTAGCATTTTTATATCCTTCCTTCCTCCAAGTGTCCCTCTGGTACAAGATCCCTTCAGCCTGAAGCATTTCATTTAGCATTTCTTGAAGTGCAGGTCAGCTGGTGGCCAATTCTCTTAGTTTTATTTCTGTTACAATATGTCTTTATTTCTCCTGCATTCTGAAGGGTGTGTTCTCTGGGTATAGAATTCTGGGAGGCACAGTCCCCAGAGGTCACCAAAAGTGACCATAGGCAGGGTCATCCTGCTCCCACCCAAGGACCTAGGACCTGTGTCATTCTTCTCATTGGGGATGTGGCACTGGGGCCTGGCCAGGGCCATCTCTGCAGCGGGACAGCAGCCAGCGAGCTGGGAGTGCAGGAAGGGGGCAGAGGAGAGGCCAGGCCCTGGCAGTGGCTCCCTGGTCAGGGAGGCTGGTGCTGCCCATGACTGACAGCTACTTGGCCAGGACCCCCGGGCCATGCCTCCCTCCTTTGCCCCGAAGGTGGTGCTGTCCTTAGGTGATCCAGTTGGGTTCAAAGGGCAGTGAGCGGCCTCCTGATCTCCGGCAGGTTCTACCTCATCAGTGGAGGGGTTCCTTTCATCATCTGTGGGGTCACGGCTGCCACAAACATCAGGAATTACGGGACGGAGGACTCAGACTCGGCATAGTGAGTACAAGCACTGAGGGGTGAGGGTGGCCGTTGATGAGGCTCCTGCGCAGGAGCGCCCCCCGGGGCCAGTCACCCTGGCTGCGCGCTGTCCAGCGGCAANACAAGCACTGAGGGGTGAGGGTGGCCGTTGATGAGGCTCCTGCGCAGGAGCGCCCCCCGGGGCCAGTCACCCTGGCTGCGCGCTATCCAGCGGCAGCACCTCCGCTGGTCACAGACGCTCATAGACAACAGACTGAAACAGTCTGGAAATGAGGTGCAGCCTTGCTGAGACCACGCAGGGCAAGGGTCCTGGGGCTGCCCAGGGACTGTCCCCAGGTGTCCATGAGGTGACAGCACAAGCCCTGGTTGCCCAAAGCTGCCCTCCTCCCTGATGGACTCAGTTTCTCCCTCGCTCTCTCCCTGGGTACTGAGGGTTGGTTTGTGGAGATGGAGAGGCCCGGGGAACCAATACACCTGGGCAGCATGGCCGAGGCCAGCAGAGTGGACCCAGCTGTGATAGGAGCTGAGTCAGACCCGCAGGCCCTCCCTGCCCTGCCCAGGCCTGGGGACCTCACTGACTCTCCCCACTCTCATTCCCCACAGGACATGCACCCCCAGCTCCACAGGCCCCAGTGCCCCAGGACACTTTCTGATCACCTCCCAGCCTTGGGCCACCAAAGTAGCCTGAGTGCATCAGGCTGGCCCTGGTGGGCAGGGTGGGGCCCCTTCCTCATCACCCGACCATGAGGCCACTTGCTGGCCATGCCCAGTAATGATTTCCACGGGCACCTCAGGGTGCAGGTGGTAGTCAGCACTGGGCTCTCTCCCCACAGCTAACCCCTCCTGCCCCCAGGAAGGCTAGTGTCACCCCCATGTTCACAGAAGCCCCACTCTGGGCCCAGGTCACAGCACAGCCCTCAGGCACCCCCTCGGGGCCCTCGAGCTATGCCTACCACCCCCCACACCTTCACTGGCTCCTACTCCTCCCTCAGTTTCCCCCCAAAACTAAGCCCCACAGGGCACAGGGTCCTGTTGCCTCCATGGTCACCCATTCCGGGGCCTATCTGGGGAGGGAGGAAGGGACACAAGAAAAGTGGTGGCACAAAAAGTGGCAAGCAGAGAACACAGAGCAGCTCCACATGTGCTCCTCACACCCCAGACCCCCTCTGCACTGTCCTGGTGACTCACGCCAGTGCTGGCTGGCCTCTGATCTGCACCACGCTTCAGTCTGTGTTTGTTTGTGTCCTGATCACACAACTGCACTCACTGACACTAGGAAATGGCAGCATCCCCATGAGCTGAGGGGGACAGTGGCCTCACTTCACTGGTGCTCTATGCAGTGTGACTCACACTCACCCACTCTCCCCCCCGCAGCTGCTGGATGGCCTGGGAGCCCAGCCTGGGCGCATTCTACGGGCCAGTGGCCTTCATTGCCCTGGTCACCTGCGTGTACTTCCTGGGCACCTATGTCCAGCTGCGGCGTCACCCGGAGCGTAGATACGAGCTCAGGGAGCGGACGGAGGAGCAGCATCGGCTGGCAGGGCCGGAGGCTGGCCACAGCCCCAGGGCCCCCCGGGGTATGCCGTCCACCTGCGCCACCCTGGCCGCCTCGCTGCTGCAGAATGAGCACTCGCTCAAGGCCCAGCTGCGGGCTGCTGCCTTCACACTCTTCCTGTTCACGGCCACGTGGACCTTCGGGGCCCTGGCTGTGACACAGGGCCACTTCCTAGACATGGTCTTCAGCTGCCTCTACGGCGCCTTCTGTGTGACGCTGGGGCTCTTCGTGCTCATCCACCACTGCGCCAAGCGGGACGACGTGTGGCACTGCTGGTGGTCTTGCTGCCCTTCCCGCCGGGACACTCAGGCCTCAAAGCTCAGTGCCCACCCCACGCTTGATGCCAATGGGGACGCACTGGGACATGCCACCTGCCTGCAGGATTCGCCTTGTGTTGGCAAGCCACGGGGTTTTGGGCACCCATCGGCCAGCCACTGCAAGATGACCAACCTGCAGGCCACCCAGAGCCATGTCAGCTGCCTGTCGCCAGCCACACCCTGCTGTGCCAAAATGCACTGTGAGCAGCTGATGGAGGACATGGCCCATGTCCACCTGCACGAGGAAGACGAATTTGGGCACGACCCACACCTGCACAGGTGCCTCCAGGGCAGAACTAAGCCTCACTACTTCAGCCGGCACCGGGCAGCCGCAGCCGAGCAGGAGTATGCCTATCACATCCCATCCAGCCTGGACGGCAGCCCCCGCAGCTCACGCACAGGCAGCCCCCCCAGCTCGCTCGAAGGCCCGGCAGGGATGCACACGCTGGCCTGCTGCGCCCAGGGCGACCCCTTCCCCTTGGTCAGTCAGCCCGAGAGCGGCAACATCAGTCCCACGCTCTATAGCTGCGCCCCACGGGCCAGCAGGGAGGTAGGCCGCGGCCCAGCCCACTTTGAGATGCTCCGGAGGACACAGTCCCTGTCCTTTGGTGGCCCGGAGAATGGGCTGCTCAAGGGCGACATGTGCGAAGCCGTGCCTTATGGTGCTGACATCACAGGCAACATCCGAACCGGGCCCTGGAAGAATGAGACGACTGTGTAGTTGCCACGGCACCTGCCCCGGGAGAGCATCAGAGCAGAGCAGGGACCCTCTGCCACGTGAGGTCGGTGGGGTCACCAAGTGACAGAGCCTCTCAGAAGCACCTGGCACCCCAACTGACCCCCTCATTATGAAGGGACTCAAGTGGGAAGACGCTTTGAGCCATGCTGCCTCCCTAACCCCGAGGTCAGACAAGCTGTCCATGTCCACTCACCGCTTTCCAACCTGAAGCACCCGGTTCCCGGACAGCCCGGCCACGCAGCAGGCAGAGGAAACAGCCTCAGCGTGGGGAGCCCTGCCCGCCTGTGATGGCCACAGCAGGAGGCACCACTGATATTTTCTCGTGTTCAATGTGTGTGTTAAGTTTTGCTCCAAGGGGCCGGCAGCCTGCTGGTCAGTCCAGTGCGCTCTGGACCTGAGGACCCATGTTCGATCCTGCGCCCGATGCCATCTCCACCTTCAGCCTCCGTCCTGGATGCAGCCCAGCCCTGCAGGCCCGAGAGCCTCACAGACGTGGGGGCACCCAGCTGTGCTCTGGGAGCACATGGCCTTCAGAGGGGTTGGAGGGGGCCACACAGCTCTGTAAATGCCCAAATGTCCTTTAATGAATATTCAATTTCCAAAGCCAACCACTGTCATGGGCATTTGCGGAAAATAAAGTTCCCTGCCCCCAAAAGAGGAGGGGCTGGCATTTCCATGAACACAAAGCCCTGACTCAGAGGACAAAAGTGCCCCATCCCACGGGCTGGGTCAGTGGGTCCTCTCAAAGGCAGAAGCCTGGACATCCAGAGGGACGTGATGTGCGTGTGAGACTGTGCCCGGGAGCCCCTCCCTTTCTCCCTCCCTCCTCCAGGAACTATGACACGTGTGCAGACACACACACATGCACACTCACACGCCTACATATACACACGTGTACGTGCACGCACCACCTGCGTGCACATGCCATATGCGTGCATCACATGTTCACCCCATCCGTGCACAGTACACCATGCCTGTGTACGCATCACCGCCACACGTGCACACAGCACACCGCGCACAGGCAGCAGAGCCGAGCGGTCAGGGCTCTGCACAGCTGTCACGGCTGTGACTTGCTGGTGTGCTCTGCCGTCTGGGCGGGAGGCCATCACCCAGGGCAGCTCCTTCCTTCACACACACCGGGAGGGGCAAGGAGTGTGTCGGGTGCCCCAGGTCCCACGCTCAGTATCTGAGCTCAAGGAGCCTCACTTCCTGGGATTCCTGCAAACCTGACCGTGAAGTTGTAACTTCCCAGTGTCCATACTTGCCACAAACCCCATGTGTCCTCACTGGTCAACCAGACAGGCAACCAGATGACCGCTGGGCGGTTCCTGTCTCCGGCGCTGCCCGGCCTGTTCACCTGCTTCTGTAGCTGATATGAACCGAGACCCGACGCTGTGCTGTGTACACACTGTAGATGCAGAACCGTCAGGTGAAATACAGTGGTTTACATTGTTTGTCCTTTGTGAGGCTGGTTAATGGCATCCACGTGCATCTCTGACCCTCAAGGGGAGAGGCCCTGTCTGTGCCCTGGGGCCTGGGGCAGGGCTGCTCTTCCCCAGCACCCCCCAACCCACCCCC